GAAGTAGGAGGAGGAGGGAGGAGGAGGAGGAGAGGAGGAGGAGGAGGAGGAGGAGGAGGATGGGGAGGAGGAGGAGGAGGAGGAATGAATGAATGAGAAAGCTCGTGGAGACCAGGTCTAGCCTGGGCACGCCTTGCATTCGCGCGGCATGCGGGGATTTACCTCCGCTCTTGGGGGGGCAACCCCCTCTCAAGACGGGAAAGCACCTCAGCCCCAGCCTTCGTGCGTGTGTGTGTGTGTGTGTGCGTGTGTGTGTGTGTGTGTGTGGATCCGTCTTGCAAGGTCGGGCAAGGCTTTGAACCTTCGCAGATGCATGAGCACCACAATGAGCACGATACAAAACACCTCGCAACACTCTCAATCGGTGGTTCGTGGCACAACCAGGATAGAGAGGGTGGGTGAGCGGGTCAGAAGAGAGATGGGCAGGGCCAGGACAGGTACCTGGACGAAAGTCCTGGACACGACCCTTCAGACTGAACCTACGCGCACACATCTGACACTTCAAAAACAATCCGCACATTCTCGGCTCATCATGGCCAACACTCCGCAACCTCTGTTTCCTGACAAGGAAGGAGGGGATAGGAGGTGGGCGTGGCGGCGGGCGGCCGAGCCTGTCCGAAGTCCTCCTTGGGTTGGCCTGGACAACTTCCTTGTGGATCGCCAACAAACGATCGAGCGTGTGAGAAGTTATCCTATCCACAAACTGAGTTAGATCAACTTGCTCTGGGGTTGGGGCCGAACGCTCCGCAGCCCATGCAGCAACATAATCAGCACGCCAGTTCAGGAAAAACTCCCCCTCCCCTATGGCGAATTGGGCCCGCTGTTGGGCCGTCGAGTGGCTCTTGATCCACAGGACCTCGACCCGACCAGGGCCCCGATCATCGAGAGCCGACCAGATCCGAACCCGCAGATCGAGCATGATACTGCTGGCAACTACCTGAGCTCGCGGCTGCCTGGGTCCTTTCACCAAGGGCAGATCATCATAATCGCATAATATATCATCAACAGTATGCGTGATCACCATGGGGAACGCATAGAGTTCAGCACGGGGGCTCGACTGTTCAGCAGTGGGGGGACTACCGCACATTACTGCATTGAGCTGGAGGGAGAGCCCGTCGGGGATGCCCAAACTCACGATCGACCACCTACATCGACGAAGCCGTTTATCAGTAGCATACTTTCCACCAGAGCCATCAAGGCCCCACATTCCTCCTGGAACACGTAGCTGAGCCCTCAAGGTACCCCATTTCCAAACACTCGTCGGTGGAGGAGGTAGGTGACCACATGAGGCATCCACTGATGGGACCCCGCGAATGAAGAAGGCACCCGCTGGATCTGCATTTTGAGCACTCTCGACAAGGTACTCGCTGCCAGAAGTGCTGGGACATAACAGCAACGCATTGGAAGGACAGCCCCAGCATCGGTGAAGAGGCGTTTCGCGCTCGTCACCACAACGGAAACATGTGCCCGAGGTTAGATATCCACTATCCTCAAGACGGCTCTCTGGCCAACATGCACCAACCACACTCGTCGCAAGAAGAGCAGCGCTCTTGTAGTCGCCGTCGCCCGGCAACTTCTTATGCTTGGCACGAAACACAGTCAGATCAGCACCAGTAGCGAGTCCTTGCCCGCAATAATGCCGACTGGCCTGGGCCCACACCTGGGCAGAACACTTAGCACGGACAGCAGCAGTGACATGGTAACGGAAATCTAGCGATGTCATTCTCATTGGTTCACTTCCGTCAACGTGCCACTCATCAACTTGGCGAGGGCCCCAACCTAAGTCGAGAACAGTAGCGCAAAGAGCAGCAACAGGGCCACGAACCTGGCGCCACCTATCAGACGGGGAAACTGTTATCATCTTCTGCCTGGGGGGCTCCCAAACCCTCCGAACTCCAGCTCGAAGACCTTCAGAAAGGGAAACCCAAACTTCCGAAACCAGAGTAAGTTGTTCAATACGCAACCGATAAACTGGGTCATCTTTGGTGTCATGCAACACTCTTCAACACTGTGGTGGTGCACGCCCCAGAGGACCAGAACCTAGAACATGCCGCAGCCGACGGTCGGATCTGTCGTAAGGCCCCAGGTGATAGACCAAGTAGAGCATGTCCCCAAGTTCCCACGGAGAGGATCCCAGGTTTGAAAACCTTCCGAGAGGCCCCACAAAGCCTAGCAAGGTATGCTAACTTACGCCCGCGCCGAAACGATATGGCACGGCGCTGCTGGATCTTCCACGTGGCCCTCCTCTTGTGGGCGGTGGTGACCGAGCCGAGATCCTTGACAGTGGGCGCGAACTGAATAGAGACCATGCCTCCTAAACTCGTCCTCCAGGAGCCGCTGCAGCTCCACGGCCGAGGCGACGGCGACCGACTTGGAGCTGAGAAAGCATCCAAGCTCAGCAATATCATGCTGGAAGGAAGCAGCAGCCTGCGGCAGGTAGCGACAGATATACTCAGCAGTGCCGTGCATATACTGGGTGATGTCATCTACATATGACCTGATGGGAACACGAACGTGTGGAAGATCTCCAGGGCCTCGAGGGATCCCATTGTGAGCCTTCTCCAAAACTCCGCGCAGGTAGCACTTCACCCAGGGCATGCTTTGACTACAGCCCGCCAGGACAGACTCCCCAGACATCAACACTTTCGATAAGCTTCCAGACACCTCCAGGAGCCTCGGAGCAGTTTCGATGAGGAGCCCCAAATACAGCAGGTGCCCAGGGTGCCCTTGATTGGTGGCAAAGTGCAGGAGCTTACCAGGGCTGACAGAGTCGAAGAACTTCTCGAGGTCCCAGTGCAGGGCGCAGGAGAGGAAACCACACGTATGGGCCACTTCATGGGCCAGCTCCCGAAACAACGCAGCCTTCAAGGCCGGTGAGCCCTTGACCGCCGAGTCCCAGAAGTCCAGGTGAGCCTTATTCCACTCGTCAATGTCGAAGCCCCGAGCTTTGCAGTAGATCCGACAGATGGACTTAGGGAGCATGGCCATGAGACAAACATAGCACTGCGGAGGGAAACTCAAGGTCTCCTCCACGGTGCGCAAGATGCCTGTGAACGCTTCGAGCGAGTCGATCGGGTCAGCCAGAAAAGTATGAGGCGACCACATATCAACACCAACAGCCGTGGTTGCCTTGAAACAAGTACATGCACGAGCAACATCAGGAACTCCAAGAGGATCAATGTCCTCAAGGGCTACCATGGCCTGGGATCGCAACTCGCTCAGGCCTGCATTCAGACAGGCCAAACGCTGAGGAGAGGGGGTCCACCAAGACTTCCACTTATTCTCACGATAGTTCATCATGGTCATCGGGGTATTGACAATACCTTCTGATGTTTCAAAGTATTCAACCCAAACCTTCTCCTCAGCCTTCAAATAGCGATGGACGGGGCTAGCACCTCGGGGAAGAGAAGCCTGAAGCCACTTGCGCATGCTGGCCTTAGTCTTAGCATGGCAATCGTCCAGGATTTAGCACAGACAACCGCACAAGCATTAACCACGTTCCTGAGGGTCTCTGGGTTCCTCGGGGGTTGTTGAGCATCTCATTCCAATTTTCAGCATCTTCGGGAATCTCCAG